GTGTTTCCATTGCGGTTTTGCGAAAAACACCAATTTCGATACGGCCGAAAAACCACCTCATACTAGAGCAAAAACATTTTGTTGAAAAAACAATTTTTTTCCTAAATTGACGTGTTTCCATTGAGCAAATTTATTTTCGAAATTCTAATTTGCGCATTTTCACGGTCAATGGGAACACAGCTACTGAGACACTTGGAGCCTCCATAACTTTATGTCCCTGTATGTGTATCCAGGGGCGGAGCCATGTGGTGGCATCTGATTGGCCACCCCCAAATAAATGAGTGGGCGGGGATTGTATGTGGAATATCAAAGATGGGTCGCATCTGTGAAGCTTATCTGGTGTAGAACAAACATATCAGTGTGTAAAGTATAAAACAACTTTTCTGAATCACAGAATTAATATAAAATATGTTAACATTCTTGATTTAAAAACCAGATATCAAATTTGGACCATATGTAGTGCCAGTCTGTAACAGCAAACAGAAAAGTTCCTTAAATAACTTCTGCTATGAATGACTTGACTGTTGTAATCGGAGCTCCCACCACAGTTTAACTTTGGTGTCCATCGTAGATTGTGTTTTTAAATTCAGATTTAGTTAAAGATTGTTTCTTGGCCATTCCTACAACAATTTTCAGCTGGGTATGTCTAGATGTTAGTGGTTAGCTTTGCTGGGATCATTCTGAGCTACACCACAACAAATTTCAGCTCAATAAGTCCTAAACCAGCTGCATTACAGCCATTTAAAGTTGGCAAAGATTGTTTTTGGGTTCAACTAAACAAATATTTAGCTTTTCTCCTCTAAAAACTGCGGAATTTTTATAAAATTAGCTTTAGCTGTTAGCTTAAATTGGGATTAGCAATCCATTCTTAGCGGCACTCATATAAATTTCATTATTTTTTTAAAACAGCTGATTTAGAGCTGTTTGAAATTAGTGGTGGCGGCCATCTTGAATTGTCAAATCAAATAGGCTGTGTCCAAAACGACAGGCCGGGTTCTCCGGAGGACCCAGACTACCCGGTCGAGGTAAGCCAGGTCCTTGGTAGACCGGGAAGCCCAGAAAAAATGTGTCTGTGAATTTGGACGGTCTAGCCTCCCCTCCTTATCCCGGCGTATGTCATGCAGCAACCTTACGACGCTAAACAGAAGCAAAATTACCGTATTTATTAGTGTATAATACGATCTCATGTATAATACGATCTCATGTATAATATGACACCCCCACCCCCCCTTTTGAGCTTAAAAAGCATAAATTAAATCCTCAAACTACCTCCAATTTCATCCAGACTTGAAGATTTTTCAGCCTTTGCAGTCTTTATACATATCAGTAAAATGATCATTGGACTGTACATTTTATTTTAACAACATATGTACTAAAAGGTATTTTGACAACAAATATACAAACCCCAAAACCAGAAAAGTTGGCACGTTGTGTAAATCGTAAATAAAAACAAAATACAATGACTTGCAAATCTTTTTCAACCCATATTCAACCCATGGATGGATGGATGGATGGATGGATG